ACTGATGTAATTTATGTAGATTTGAGCTTAATGAAACAAAACTTGATTTTTAAAACATATAAAACATAAACGCTACAAATTTTATTAAAATAAAACTTTTTTCTTATTATTTATATTTTATTTTTCGCGTTAAAATATTTTCGAAGCATCCTCTAAGCAAACATTATGAATTTGTAATTATTTTTTACTATTAGATGGAAAACATTTTATAAATGAAATAACACCGAACATATATTGTATTTTGTCAAATGTAATTTTTATTTACTTATGACAACTTCAATTTAATTTGCCGTTCAATTATAATTTTTTATATTGAACCTGGAAAATAGAATTGTCTTGCATTGGAAAATTTGAAATAATTATTTTGTATACATGCAACTTTACTTGGAATTATGTTGCACGCAACTTCGAGTTAGAAATTGTCTTGCTCTAAATGTCGAAAATGAATTATCTTACACAATTATTTTACTGAAATTCATATTGCACTTTCTTTTCATTAAAAATTAGTTGAAATTGACGTTTACAAAGATTTAATGATCAGGGAATTAGACTTAATTTTACCTTACATATACTTGTAGACTTTAAACATTTTTCATTGTACTTTTTGATAGCTTTTTTAAAAAGGTTTCTTTCTACCAGCATCATGTTTTTAAAATAAATTTTACTACTTCCAGGGACTTCGGAATGACCATATCTTGCTCAAGTGTTTTTCTGTTTTATATATTAAAATCTTCTAAATTTAATTTTAAATAAAGCTTATGAATTTGTGTTCTTTTATTCTTTATCCCTACTATATGCAATATGCTGTTGATCAAAAATGTTATAATGATTATTAGATCCACAATCTCTCGACAGAATTCTTCTTATCTAAAAGATATGTTATTTCCTTTACAAAATAAAGTACATTAGTATATCGCTATTATATTTGAACCCAAGAATTGGCATCAAATCTGCATTTGCAGCAAGAGATTTAAAATCCACCGATACACCATTTATGGCAAGATATTGATCATCCATGTATGTATTCATTTACAACCGATTGGGCATCCATTGATTTACCATTTATAGCAAGATTATTCGCTAATTCAGCATTCACCGGTTCAGCTTCCAGTGACTGAGGCTCCTCTGCGAGAAAACTATTCAAATTCTACAGTGAAAAATGTTTAAAAAAAATTCTTACCAATCCTCTTGCAAAGTTGCATTCTGTAAAGGACGAAGCTACATGAAAACCCAATTCAAATAAGCAAATGCTGCAAATACAAATTTCTATTAACAAAGAAAATTTGTTTAAAAATTATGACCCTGTTCGTAATTGTACACCAACAAAAAATTTTTTTTTAATAAAATACTTCAAATAATTAGTAACGTGAAAGTAAAACAACGGTTAAAAATAACGTCTTACGCAAAATTAGACATTTCTTTTCTGCAATCGGATACTAAGGATATCATATTAACTTTCTAGAGATATACGGAAATTATATCACAGTAAATATTGTGAGATATAAAAAAGCGTTGCAGATTCAATTAACACAAAAAAAGATTAAAAGAATCCATTTTGGTGTTATTTTTCACTATGAATGAAATTTGACTTCAAATGAAAAAAAATGTTTAATTTCCAATCCTACTGAACTTTAAACAATACATGCAAAAAAATCTTCTGCCTGTGAATGAAATAATAAATATTTAATAATTTACACCACGGAGGCAAAAATCTAGTTTAACCTATTGACTGTCAATAAAGGATATAGTTGCAAAAAATAGTGATCAAAAGATCCCATAGGGGCTATATGCGCAAGATAAGAAAAATGAGTTAAAACTTTGTAAATATTATTAAAACTTGTTACTCGAAGGTTTCTACAGTCGCTGATTACAAATTTGATGTAACATTTTCAATACTTGAAATGGGGGATAAATTTCTCAAAATTAATCAATTTCATTGCAACTGCTTACTCGGGAATTTTAAAGGTCACTGTAATTACGAATTTCAAGTCAATTTTTCAAAATTCAAAATTACGGATCCTAGTATCCCGGCAAGAAGAAAGGCAACGAAAGCAGTGAATGAAGAAACGGTATTTAATGGCATTCACAACAATCTTCTCTACAAATATTTATTGTTTTAATTGTCAATATACTAATTAAGACATAATATCCATTCTAAAAACTTCATAACATACTAAAGAATATTAATCAAATGTAAATCTAGATATTATAAAATGTACTTTAACAGATTAAGTGATTTATAAATATAACCTAAACATTAAGTTTGTGACATGTATCACGTGACTTTGCACTTATAACTTTTTCATGCGCCAAACCAACCCATAAATTTTACAACATAGTAACGCTTAAGCTCACTGTCTCATTATCAACTAAAACCAAACCGATAATTTTTATTTATTTGGACACGTACGACTGGACGTTGTAGACTTTCGTATGCACTGCACTAATAAACTACGACACAACAGAAAGGTGAAGTGGCACTAAAATTAGTAAATTTGTAAAAAGGATTAAATAGCACTCATCTTTTAAGCACATCCTACTTGATAAGGTATTAAAAGGGATTGAACTTTGTAGAACCACGAACAGCATTGGTTGGCATTGGCTTTACTCAGCACATCGTTTCTATTATACCATTTAATGGCATTCCCATTTTGCGTAATTGTTAAGGATTAAAAAGCATTAAAGCGGGAACGAGTAATAATATACTGATGTCATTAAATGGGATTGAGGAAAGAAACGGAATTTATTGGCATTCAAAAGCATTTAATTGTCTTTTTTTCTATGCCAATTAATGACTTTTAGTACACCTTACCGCGATATGGGACAAAAAAATTTTAAAACCGTCAAGTAGTACAACCTGAAAGTTCATTCTAGGTGAGTTAGATTTTTGTATTCACTTCATGATTGAACGCATTACGAATAACTTGTAAAGGCTAGGTGAGACTTCGGTCTCGAAGCAGAACCTCAACGTAGTTTCCGGTGGAAGTACACGAGGTCTGCCCTCGCTAATTCCCATTTTTAATGGGTTTTATCGAGGCCAGTTAGATTGTAACTGCTTCTCCGTTTCATTGGACACCTGTCTATGGCACTCTGGATATTGTCTATCTGGTTTAAATACAAGGAATTCCATGCTTCATAGAGGCGTTCTTTCATTCCCCGTTCTTGTCAGTAATTGATAGCTCGCATGCTGAGCCAGAAGCAATTTGTCGTTTCGCTGTGCGAGTTGCAGTATCAGTCGGATGGTGAACCCGCAGAGTCACCAAGGATTAGAAAGGTTCCGTCCCAATACAAGGGGCCACGAGGACTCTTTGACTAGCCACTTTGGTGAGGAGTCGGAGAGTTTCTGTGGATAGATAGAAGGCTCACTTGAGTCGTTGACACTGGCTCAGTGTGTTTCTGCTCCGTTATGTTCCTGGGGGAACCGTGTGGGTGTACATGTATATGAAGGCCCCCACGTTAATCAAAATAGGCGCTGTTCATTTCATGATTGCAATGCTTCCTCAGAGGAATCAAAGTATCACGTGGATATTAAATACTCAAATAGAATGAATACGTTTAATTATAGATTTGTTTATAAATTTCAATAAGTAATTGTTTTTTAGTAACATTTCTTTGTCAAATTTAATGTTTGTTGAATGGGATTTTTTGTCAGAGAGTTTTACAACTCTATAAATCAGATTATAAACTGTATAGCAATTTTTTTAGTCAAAGTGTGTTTAGAGACACAATTATTGATATTTCTGTCAGAAAATGTAGGTTTTATGTACCAGTCAGTAATAAGTTGCCTTTGCTCGTCAATAATAATATAAACATCCAGAAAACTAATACTATTATTATTATTATTTTGAATTTCAAAAGTGAAGTGCAATCTTTCGTCATAACTATTATAAATATTAATCATCTCGACAATTTTATCCATTGGTATGCAAGTGATTATATCATCCACATATCTGTAGAAAAAGGATGGTTTAAATGACAGTCTCAACAAATTTCAAGGCCTTCCACGACAATATCTGCGTAAAGGCCAGAAATTGTTGACCCCGTGGGAGTGCAATACACTTGCTAATAATATATTTATCATTGAATTTAAAGGATATATTGTCAAAGAGAAATTGTCATAAATCAAGTAAATCATCTAGTTAAATATTAAAAGTTTAGGATATTATTCTATAACGTTTGATGATAGAATCACGTACATGTTGTGAACAAAAGATGAAACGTCAAAACTAATCAAAATGTGCGGTTATTTGGAATAGTAAATTGTTCAATTTTTTCAATAAAATCTAAACTTTGATAAAAAGAAATTCGATCAATAAGAAGACATAAAACATAAAAAGACTTATGTCATATTTTATAGTTGCGAAGTTTCGATGGTGTGGTGTGCCATCCTCTTGCGGCTAATTTGTTTAATAAAAACACCAAAATTAATAAATTACAATAAATAATAAATAACACAATTATATAAAAAATTAATAGTACCTGAATTGTATTACAATTTAGATTACATTGCAACTAGTCAAAATTAAAATAAATAAACATAAAAATAAATATATAACACGTAAACGTAAAAAGGACAAGCACGCGACGAATGCTGTCATTTCGATACAACGATCAAGTCAAAATGAAATTAAATATTAGAAAACACCATCTCTGCTAAAATATGGAGTTTAGTGAATTCTTTTTTCAATTTAAAAATCTAAACTATTGCGTATGTGGGGTTTCAGTTTTTTATAGATTTGTCAAGTGGTTCAAATAATTGTTTAGATAAAAAGGCGGTTGGTGAATAGATAGTTGAAACAACAGGTCTTAAAGGATTATCTTTTATATGAATTTTAAGAAGACAAAAAATTTATGAGAGTATTGAACTAATAAGACTGTAAATAGGCCTTAAAACGTATTAAAAAGAATTTTCATATAATCAAATTTCAATTAGCAGAAATTTATTTATTAAAATCTACATATATTCAGAATTAAAAATGATCTCTTTCAATACATTTCAGGTATAAATTAAATTTGTCAAATGGATGTCGAAACTGGTGCGATTGTGACTCTGCAAATTTTAGCAATTTGCTCAATAGTGGCGGCTCTTCTCGCTTATTTGATGCGACAATCGAGAAACACAGATGAAGAATTCGAGATGAGGTGCAAACGACATGTTCTAGTGACCAGTTGCGACACAAGCGTAGGGTTGCAAATTGCTTTGACACTATCAGAGGCAGGTTACAAGGTAACAAAATTAAATACTCTTTTTAAATCAAAAATACTTTTAATTATACCTTTAATTAAGTACAAACATTAATTATTTTATATTATTTTATTTATTTCATTATTTATGTTATTTTCTATTATTGCTTAACTTTATAGCATTAAAAAAGAGTAAAGTAAAAATAGAGAACAATTTTGTCTTTATATACAATTATTCTCTGAAGGAATGTATCCATTTAATGGCAGTCTCAAGTCAACAATGATTGTAGAATGAAATGTAGTGCAGATATATGTATAAAAATTTAAAAGAGCCTATCTATTTTATGTAAACTATGTTTTTTACAGGTTTTTGCTGGTTTGTTGCAACCAGAAGGAAATTCTCATGCAATAAAAATCATTAGAGTTGTTCAATCTCAAAGAGAAAAAGATCAAGACCATTCACGCTTGGAGTGTTCTGTGGGATTGGACGTACGTGCTTCGGGACAAATCGTTCCAGTGGAATTAGATCCAACGCGAGAGGATAGTTTACGTGCCTGTTTGGATGCAGTTAGATCAAAACTTCCGGCTGGTGAAGATGGTAATGGTTTTGTTTTCCAATTTTTCAGAGATAATCATTGGTCCAGGGAAATTAGGATATTTCTAGGATGGCCCTGTGATCACCGTGCATGAACACCCCTGGGATATTCTAGAATACCCTAATTTCCCTGGACATTTACAACGCTTACTAATATTTAAATTAAGGAGTGATTTATCTTTATTACTAATTTAAATAATTATAATATGTACGTAAATATACTGTTTTAGCATAATTTATTTTCTTCTTCCAGGACTCTGGGCAGTGGTACACACGGGAGGATTAGCGTTACCTGGTGTCATAGAAAAACAAGAAAGCTCTGCTTGGGAGTCGATGCTAAGGCACAATCTTGTAGCTGCTTTGCGAGCAGCCCGAGTGTTCATACCATTGCTACGTGCAAAGAGAGGTATTAATACTAAACTAAGATTAAAATAATTAATAATTTAAATTTAATTTTAGTTCTTTAGATTCTATCTTAGTGATTTTGAAAAAAATCAGCATTGTAAATGATGAATAAAAAAATACACTACTGCTGGAAAAATGAATTAAGAAATTCATACATGTTTTTATTTTGAAATAAACAGTTTTTGTTTTTTCAGGTCGCATTATTTTTCTCGGTGATTCGGGTTCAAATAATGGACCTGGATTGGTTGCCTTTAGTGCCTCTAAAAAAGCTGTTGAAGGAGCTGCAGAAGCTTTAAGGAACGAACTTACTTTTTCTGAGATCGACGTTATACTTTTAAAGCCACCTCCAGTAAATCCCCTCACTTTGTATGCGATACCCGTGCTTAAAGCGTAAGATTGTATTTCTTTAATGGCATAAAACTACTTAAAAAACATATATTATTTTTAAAAGATATAACAGTAAAATTATATTCATTCTTTGATTTTATCACTCGGTCGTCTTATTTATAAATAAATCGTTGAGTTTAACAATTCAAAGTCAAATTAGAAATAAATCAAAAATATTCATTTTTACCAATTTGGATGGGAGTGATCGTTAATCTCAACGATTTATTTATAAATATATTAAGAATTTCTGTCAAGTTAAAAGAAAATGTTTCAATTTTCACAAATGTTTTTTAAAGTGTACATTACATAAATTTACATTATTCTAAATTGTTATAAAATGCAAAATTTTTTTTAGGTCAGGAAACGTACGCAGTACTTCATACACGGAGGCTGTTTGGACGGCACCATTGACAGCTTATTCTGTAACAAATTCCTTAACTTTAGCGCTCACATCGCGAAATCCTAAAGTTTCCTACGACATGAATCTTAAACCTCACATTTTTTGTCGATAAGGAACGACTACTTTTGGAACTGATTATAATTTTAAGGAACTGTTAGAAGAAATGAATCAGAAATAATATATAAAAAATTATAATCAAAGTATTAAAACACTTCCTCTATGTAAGACTAATTTAAAAGACGATAGAGTAACAAATGTAAATAACTGTTTTTAAAATTTTTTTACACATTCTATTTATGTTAAAATTAAAAGGTGACTATATGTATATAATGCAAACAGCAGATAGAATAAACTCAAGGTGCTTTCTACGTACATAACAAAACACTAATAACTAAAATTAATAACTTATTTGGATGTAGTGATCCAAGGTTTGTGTTACATATCATCATTTGATTAATTACTTACAGTTTACTTATTACAAAGAAATATATAAGCATATTTTTCTCAAAGACTTTATAATATATTTTTAATAACGATGTTAATATTTTTAAAAACTAATATTTAATCTTGACAATTGAAATAATTAAAAATAAAGTCGATTTTTTTGGAACATGAACATTTTTACTTCAGTGCTCTTTCACCGATACTTTTCCCACAATTTTCCCTAGCATATCACAGAATATCTATCAATTGTGTTAGGAAATATTTATTATTTCCTACGGGTGTCAGATAACCTCTAAATAAAACACAAGGAATATTAGAAAACGATTAAAGAAATATTGTTTATTGAAATTAGACGATGAAATATTATATTTAAGTGAACACTGTCAATTGTAGAGAAAGAATATATATTAATAATAACAATTAGAATGAAATCAAACGCCACTTAGGCCGCGCACACGCTTTTTCGTCGCTCTCGACTTTCTTATCTCACGTCTCCTTATATTCTGCTGTCGTTCGTTGTCGCAGTCGTCTCGCTAGACCTTACACCTTAATCCGCATTCACACTCGTTTACAATCAGTCACACCATTAAGCCTAATTCACATTTAAACTAATATTCTTCGCCTAACAATTGTATATTAAATTTACAAAATTACCGTTAATTATTTTACATCCATGGATATAAAAAAACTGTTCCTCTGCGAAATGCAAAGGGTAAACATTCATTTATAGGGACATTGTTTTAAAATTGGGACCCTTTCCTTAAATTGTGTTTATAAAATTATTCATAAATTATGAAAATGGAAAGAGGAAGTTTCGAAACAGCAATTTTCTGCAACCAGCACGTACATCTCATGCACGTCGGAAATGCATAAATATACAGATATACATATGTACATATTACTCGTATACAACAAACGGGAGAACTGTGCATCACGTAGGTTACACTTTAGCATTAATTAATCCAGATGAGAGGCACGACTATATCAAGCACCTCGACTACACAATTTACACATGTAAAGAATAAGTAATAATACATACGTATATACGTGAACTCAATGGTTAAAGATTCCATACAGTAGAATTTACCAAAATTTACATTAAGCAGATTACCTTAATTCTCTAATGAGGCTTGACTCCTATATACTGAAGCAATCTACCGAGACTTTTACGCTCATTTTTGAAATTTCTGTATTTCATTCGTTTTGTGTGTACCTGAATGTATAGATGTATTCAACAAAAAATAATAAGCCATAAATAAATATCTGAAACTTATTTTAAAATATAATTATTTAAATTTACGTTATTAGAAAAAGGGAATTTTAATAAGTTATATAATTTTGGTCTAGAACTGCTACTTACTTATAAAAACCTTTAAACTGTTTTCAAAAGTCTAATCATAATACTAATAAAAATCTTTACGTATGTTTGCATAATTTTGACTCACTTTTTTATTGTTTATTTAGTTTTATTATTTTTCAGATTTAAACCTAAATGGTTCATTTATATCTATTAATTTTATCTTTCCTTAAATTTAAAAAATTCACTTTACAATTGATTTTTTTCTCAATAGCTTTAAAAATTTCAAAAAAGAAAAACAAAACAAAAGCAAGAAATTAAAAATTAACTTTTCAAACAAACAGTCACGTCATGTTAAAACTTTAGGAATAGTCAGATAAAAGAACAATTAAAAATAGAATCAAGCGATGGTTATATCACGCAAAGCAACATGCGCAGCGTTTAAAGTAAGTTGCAACTTTTTTAAATAATCATACCCTAAAGGTTACAGCTATTGATTTGATTGAATTAATTATGTCATGGAAATATATTTATTTGATAATATGCAAGTAATCCATTATTTAAATAAAATCATCATTAGAAAAGAGTGCAGAAAATAAAAGACAGGCAAAATTAAACGAATCAGATGTTTCTTTTAATGAAGAATAAAATAGATATTATTGAACATGTATGAAGAGTCGGACTTTTTCCTTGTCAGAGATAAGTAAACGACATAAATAATTGATAGATAATTTACAACCTTTAAATTTAAGGAAATATATATTCATTATAATTGTAATTTGCTATAGATCTATTCATTCCCCAATCTTTGACTAGCTATATTAAAGAAGCTGCAAATGGTCTTCGAAGCATATTTACTGATTTGAAAAATGAAAATTATTCCAACTTTTTTCTATTTATGTGTAGACTTGCACCCAAAATCCAGAAATTATGTTTCTAAGATTCAAAACTCATCAGATCAAGAAGAAAAATTCAAAGTCAGAGCTCTGGTGGATCCAGGATCGAAGATCATTTCAAGTCAACACATAGCAGAAAGCTCAATGGAGAATACGTCGTACAAATTCCTCTCAAAAAACCAACATCACTTCTTGGAAATTCAAAAATGCTGCTGTGAGAATCTTAATAAGATTAATCACAAATGTTGAGAGAACTAGTGAGCGAGTACATGGTGGGAGATATAACGAAATCGGGTTTTGCGAAAATGTCCGAAAAGAGGCGAATGATTTTGAGACGATTGCTACGCGGAATCAACCTGTGTATGGCGGGAGGCTTTCCTCTCAAAAAATGGATAAGTAATGAGTCAACGACGCTTCAAAACTTACCTGCTGAAAAACAAATACTACAAAAAACAGTGTCTATTGATTAATCCTCTACAGAAATGGTTCATGCTCTTGGAATGAATTGGAATCCTTCAAGTGATACCTTTTACTTTACTTCAACGATTACAACGCAAACTAAAGTGACAACAATCAACACCGTCGACAATTGCTAAGCTTTACGATTCTCATGGATTATTATCTCCTCAAACTGGATTGGGATGATCAGCTACCATCATTTCACATTGAAAAATGGAACGCCTTCATTCAACAATTACAATCAATCGACACCTTATCATTTCCACGCTGGCTGAAAATTACATCATGCACCATCGAAATTCATGCATTTTGTGATGCATCTCAGCAGGCTCTTGCTGCCGCCATTTATATACGAGCTGTTGATCACATAGGAGACACAAAATCTAACCAACAAGCCTTAAATCTGGAAAAAGTTTCTGTTCACATCTAAACAGATTCAGCAATCATTTACACCTGGATCAACAATCACCCATCTCGTTGGAAGGACTTTGTTCATAATAGAGTTTGCTTCCTTCAAGAAAATCTACCAACTGCCAAATGGCACTCCATTTCCGGTAAAGAAAACCCTGCTGACTTAGCTACTTCAATTCAACTTGCTGAATGTTCGAGTTGGTGAAATGGACTTGAGTGGTAACAACATTCGTACCCTTCATGGAGACACTCAACTAACTTTGACCTACATCAAAAATGAATTTTGGATACTAGGAGAAAACAGTGGTCATTCAACCCACCTGCAGCACCACACTTTTGTCGAATACCTTCAACGTTACCAGATGACAAGCAAATGGAATCAAGTTACGGACTGTACTAATTATTCTCACTTGTCGCTTAAAACTTTTCAAACAAAATTGTTATAATCAATATATATAAATCAGTGAATAATCAATAAACTATTATTTTTCTTGTCAAATGTGTGAGTTTAAGTTCCCAAATTATTAAATGTGCAATTTTTCTAAACACCCTGTAACGTTGATTTTAAATAATCACGTTATAAAAACCAAATTGAGTTTTCGCCGAAACTTATTCAGTTAATTCTTGATTAATAATTATAAATTAAATGCGGTAGCCAGAATCGAATAAAGTCTCATGTGCATCTACAGTATCTCCTAATACAGATAATTCACAGCTTTTAGGTGACTTCTTGAGAATTGATGAGAGTATGATTAAAAAGGCAATGAGTAAAATTTCTCTCAAAACTACATCTGGATTTGACCTAATTCCTGCCTTTGCTATACGTAAACTTTCTCAAGCGCTAATTGAACCATTATTGATAATTTTTAATAAATCTCTTAATAATGGCATTTTTCCTTTTGTTTGGAAGGGTACAAAGGTTTGTCCTATTTATAAGAGTAGCAATAAATCAGAGATAACAAATTACCGTCGAATATCTATTATAAACAATTTTTCCAAAATATTTGAAAAGTGCATTTATGACTTTGTGCTTGATAAAGTATCTGCTAATTTATCAATATATCAACATGGCTTTATTTCAAAAAGATCAACCCCTACTAATTTGTTGGTGTTCACGCAAGATTTATTTAATTTATTGAATGATTACCAACAAGTTGATGTAATCTATACAGATCTATCAAAAGCTTTTGATAAAGTTAATCATACTTTGTTGCTTGATAAACTTCTTACTTTTGATATATCTGATAAACTATTAAAACTAATAAAATCATATTTAGTAAATAGACCTAATCAAGTACAGTATAATGGACATATTTTAAAACCATTTTTCCCGTCATCTGGTGTTCCTCAAGGATCCAATTTGGGTCCACTTTTGTTCTCAATTTATATGAATGATGTATCAATGCATTTAGGCTGCCCTTATCTTCTTTATGCAGATGATGTTAAATTATATACACCTATTTCTAATTTAAACTCTTGCTTATCTCTTCAAGATAACCTAAACATTTTTAATAATTGGTGTTGTGACAATAAATTTAATCTGAATGCTACTAAATGCAAGATTTTATCTTTTACTAGAAGTTCGTCAATTTTGGAATACCAGTATAAAATTAATAATACTGTGCTTGGGAGGATTTATAGAATTAAGGATCTTGGAGTCACTTTCTTACCTAATTTGTCTTTTAAGGACCATATTAGTGAAATTGTTAACAGCGCTACTAAGACTTTAGGATTCCTAATTAGATCATGAAGACAATTTAAGAATAAATCGACCTTAATTGTACTCTTTTAAACATTGGTTCTAACAAAAGTTAATTATTCTAATATTATATGGTTCTCTAGTTTTCAAAAATATATTGATGCAATTAATCAATGCCACAAGCAGTTTATAAAATTCTTAGCTTGGAGAGAAGATAAAGTTAACCCTCCTAGAGGAATTGATTTTAAAATTTTGCAGAATAGGCTCGGAGTTTGGTCAGTGGAAGACAGACAAAAATTTTCAAATATTATTTTTACTTTTAAGCTTCTAAAAGGTATGATTGACTGCCCGTTTATATTACAATTACTTCCATTTAATGTTCCGCAATATACTATAAGAAATTATGCTCCTTTTTATCTACCATCAGTTTTCAATAAACAGTCACCAATATACAATATAATAATAATAATATAATCAATAGTATAATAGTATAATATTATACAATAGTATAATCAATAGTTTCAATAAAAAACGTAACTTCGTGTAAATAAAATATTGAGCTCGGTAAGAGCTAGTCCGGGAAAGTTCTTTGTTTTGTTACAGCATCGTGACCCGGGTAGTTTTCCTACCTGGTGCCGGGGAAGTTCCCTAAAACGTGTCATCGATGGTGTATTATAAGTTCGAAGTGTGGAATTTATAATTCGGCAATTTGGAATCCGTAAATTGCCATTTTTGTAACGATTCGCGGGTAAAATCCGCAAGTGAACGTAAAGATCGTTACAACCCTTTATAGACCAAACTGGTTTTAATCATTGATTAACTTTTTATTGGGCTTGATAGAATTAGCCATTAATAAATTAACTTTTATTTTACTCGAATTAAATGATTTTGACATCAAAACCTAAAAAACTCTTCTGTTTTGTTATTAATCAGAAAAGAATAAAAATATTCTCTATTGGAATTTAATATATGTTTTAATTGAGAGGATAAATTAAGAGGTTATTCGAAAAAGGGATTTTTCTCCAAATACGAGATTACTTTTCTTTAGGTGCAGAAACATGGCCCTTTAATAATCAGATTATTAGCATGGAATCTTATTTTTATAATTGCGTTGTTACAAAAAACATTTAAATTTGATTTACAATTTTAATCCCCAAAATGTCTATTTCAAACGATAAACTTGTCGAATTCTAAAGTAAATTGGCGAAAAAATATAAAGATTTACCTGTACAAACTACAAAGACTGTGACAAGATCTGGGAAGAAAAATACAAAGACGGATAAATTATAGTAGAATGAACAAAAGAGGACGAGATGTGAAATCAATTATACCCTGGTTGGAGGTATAGTCGAATTCAAGAATGCCTTTCACGGACAAACGTGTTGAGCTCATAAGTATCGATGGCTAACAAAGTGTGACACGTTTAATCTGTGTAAGGTATTCTTGAATTTTACTGTACATTAAACCGTTCTCCAAAATCCTTAAGTTAATAGTCAGTCGTCATGAACGAAGTAGCTCCCTAGCTTTTAAGTCATTACATTTTGTAATCTTTATTGTCACCTTAGTATTTTTTTTTTTTTTTTGCTTAGGGACTTTTGGGAAATCTGCCTACAGATACCTTGCATTCCGCACTCCAAGGTTATGTGGGGTTGGTATGATAAAAAAAACAAAAGGAAATATAAAAAAAGAAAAATAAATAAATGTTACAATAAATTTAACAAACTGGCGACCTACTACCAGCCCGACCCACTAAAACCCGTAACCCTTCTTTTGGAGCCCTTTACCATCCCTCGGAACTGTCGTAAGACTTTAGCCTTCGAGGGTGGCGCTCCAACTCTGTCGCTAATGCGACTTTCTGCTTTTCTCTGCGGTTATCCTGCGTTAATAGTTAAAAATTTAAAACTATTTCAATATAAAAGCGGAATTAACAGCACAACAATAATAAAAAAAATGTTTAATCAAGTGTAAACAGTCAAAAGATAAAATTGCAAACGGATATATAAAAAAAAGAAAAAAAAATAATAAACGCTTATATAATATTAAAAACATAAAACGGAATAAATTAAAATTGTATAAGGACAAATAAATCACAAAATAAATTAATAAAAGCAAACGAACAAAATTAAAAGCTGTTTAAATTACGCTTTTTGGCGGCCGTCGAGATCCTTCCTCGACATAACCGAGATTATGAAGTTCTCGACTTGCCGCCAATTCTCCTCTGACTGGGTCATCAGCGATACCATGTTCTCCGGTGTAACTTGACTGTTTACACCTTCGAACATGGCCTGCCTCTCCAAGTCCCATTTCTTGCATGAGAAGAGGGTGTGCTCCGCGTTGTCCTCAGGGAACTGGCAATATGCGCACACCTCGTTCTCGCGTTAAACCGTTCTCCAAAATCCTTAAGTTAATAGTCAGTCGTCATGAACGAAGTAGCTCCCTAGCTTTTAAGTCATTACATTTTGTAATCTTTATTGTCACCTTAGTATTAGGAGTACATTTGTAAAAAGGGTATGTCCTGTACATATCTAAATAAATAAATAAACAATTCAAACTACATCATTCAAATTTTTTGATTGATAATTGTTAAAAATTAGTTAATTTTTTTGTATAAATAGATTATTATGTAAATATACCAAAAATAATAGACCTTCTTTATCATTCTATTAAATTTTGTCAATGGAGAACGAGCTACTTTTCAGTTTTTTGTTCTGGTTTAAAGAATCTGATTCCAAAAACTAATTTATTGGTTAAGATTCTAACTTAAATTCAACAATTTTTTTGAAAATCATTGGCAACTGAATTGTGCAGATATTAAAATTTTTGTTTTTTACTATAGTTAATTTTTACTAAAAATACTATTAGATATGAATTAATTTAAATTTTCTACGTATTTGCCAATTTTAGTTGGCACCCAGACCATCCTAGTGTCTAATCATATTTTTTCCTATTTTCTTTTTTTCTATTCATTCAAGGTTGTTATTGTCTTTTCCTTGTCCAGAAAAGGGAAATGTGTTCTACATATCCTCAGTTTTCATGTAGTTTTTCGCAAAGAATGTCACGGTCTCTATTAAATTTCTACGAAATTTCATTTACTCGTCTACCGTTAGAAGTTATTGTCTTCACTGTCTTTTTGCGTTGATAGTGGTGAAATTTTCAATGGCATTAGTTAATGTCACTTTCTTCCTCTGTTTATGCGTCAAATCTACACAAGAAAAAATATTTAATGGGTTTATGTCGCTTTATTTTCTTAGTAAAATTTATAGAAGCGAATAAATTCTAGTAATGGACATACAAATTATATACATACTTAATTCCGAATTAAAATTTACTATATTACAATAACTTTAAATTATATATAGAACAAAACGGTATTTATTGTTAGAAGAAAGTATTAAATTTTGTAAAATAAATCGATTAATTAAAACATCTTTTTTGAAGAACGTATTTTATTTAAATTGTATTAGAATTTATGTTACAAATGATAAACACCTTTCAATAAAGGTTATTTAAAAACATGTGTCAAAAAATATGTATATATTCAATGAATTTAATAGAAAAAACATCCTATTCTATTTTTACGAAAATCTACCATAAAGAATATAAATTATTTTAAAGTATAATAAAATTCATTTTAAAATTTGTCTTTATATTGATGAGAAAATTTAAGGTCATAATTATTTCTGAAAAATTATTAGTTTTGGTGAAAGTTTCTGAACTTTCTCCCAATTTTTAATTTTTAGATTGTTAGAACACTTAAATTTGCCAATTACTGTATATAGTTGCTTTAAGTCGTAAAATGTGAAGCCACAGCTGTGATATCCATCACATCAAATATGAATAATCTTTTTAGTGCTTTTTTAATTTTTGAAAAATAGAGAATACTATATTTAGATAAATAAATTTAAAAAATAATGTTGAAAGTGGTTATAATATTAAAAATATGATATTGCAATCAATTTTATAACAGTTATCTAAAAATATAAACAATTATCTATATCTGAAACTTATAAAAAATTAACAATCATTTTGAAAACATTAAAGAATAAAAATACAAAATTTGAGAATATAACCATTGCATTTTTTTCTGGGGTACTTGTGTACCCCAGGTGTACTATCTAGGATTCATAGTAAATATAATAATAATAATATAAATAGAAATAAATAATACAAGCTGAAAGGAGTCGAAATCAGACCAAATGTACGTAGAAACATAATGTTATAAAAATGTTGAACTATCAAACTAAAGGAAATATTACTTTTTCAACCTAAATATATGTATAAATAGAAATGGAGAAACAAGATAATTAAATTTTGAAGCTTTATCAATTTTTTTATAATAGGTACATGGCGTAATATTATTCTAATAAAATTTTAATTTGAAAAATAAATAAATATATTTTTATCGTTTGAACGTTGAGATCTTTAAGGACATAAAAAGTAAAACAAATATATAACCTTAAATTATTAATTCACAGATGTAAGGAGGAGAATTAGTTCCCTAGAAAATTTTCAGTTCAAAGTCGTTTTTAAATAAAAATAAAAAATTTTGTGGTATACAAAAATGTTATAAATATCCTTCTTGAGTTGGATATGTGGCATAATTTTTCAGACCGTCTTCATGATGATCATCTCTATGGAGACCTTGAAAATGATGATTTTGACCATGTTTGTCATAAGTACCGCTGGAGTGATCGTTTTTACCAGAAGTGTGCACCACTGCATGAAATCCATCTTTATCCGCGTGGTAACTCACCACACGAATTGTACCACCTGGTTCTATCACGCTGTATTCTCCATGAACAGTGTTTCCTAATAGTGATAAAAAGAGTAAACATAACCAACATGTGCTGATCCTAAAATATGTGTTTGAACTTTGTACTAAAATACAAAGTAATTCAGTTATTCAAAATTCGGTAATATTTGCTTTACGGTTCTTAGGATAGATAGAAAGCTAAGATTCTAAGGAGTGATTCTGTAGAACTATAATTATTTTTTTTCTATATTTTTTGAAATCTGCTAAGAGTCAAAATAAGAAATTCATAATTTGTTTATGATTTGAACTCACCGTCTCTGTGTTCCTTTTGCCCATGAAAATCACCAGTGTGGTGATCTTGAACACCATAAGAAAATTCATATTTTGGATGTGCAACGTAATCCTGAGAATAATGATCGTGGTGATGATGATGATGATGTTCACCATGCAGATAATCAGGCTCACTATGAGGAGCAAAATATGGGACTTTCACTTCGAAATCAGGACCCACAACTGGTCCATGAAAATGCATAAAAGAATGAGCTGCAGATGAGAAACCAGCGAAAACTGAATTAGAGCCTGCTACAATTATTGCCAGTATGTTAAAAATCTGAAAATCATTTATTAAAATATGTAAAAAATCATCAAAAAACCTATGCATAGTTAAAGCTAAATTATTGTAATTATTTCATAAACACTTTGTTTCTTATTGACAACTTTATTCTTATGAGTACTCATTCTTAATTTTTTTATTTGCATATTTTTTGATATCTAATGAAATAGGCACGATGACAAAAATAATAAACATAAAGTTTTATTGTTGATATTCTTTTAATCGATTATCGGAAGAGTAATGAATGAAACACTATTTCATTATTTGTTGTGCAACTTTTCAGTGTCTTGGTTTGACACTATCACCAGGACACTTTATTAAAAAATGAAATTGTAAATCTTCTTTTTTATTGATCATATAATCGTTAAATTTAATACGTAACATTTCAGAAATTAATCGTTTTTTATAATTTGATTCCAATTCTACAATTCTAACATCATCAAAATTGAAGGAATGATTAAGTGTAGTTTAATGTTCATTAAACACAGATTCAATTTTTTTCTTTTTATGTTCCTTGATTCTTTTTTACAAATTACGTTTTGAATCACCGATGTAAGGGGCAGAACAATTATTACAATTAAATTTGTAAACGATAACAGTCTGGTTCCATTTGTTATTTGCATCCTTTCCTAGTTCAACAACTGAAGTCAAAGGCTTATTAACCATATTGTAATTGACAATAAATTATAATCTTTTAAGTTCTTTGATAATTGTAAGTAACTGTCATTAAAAAGAATGCAAATTTTTTGAATACGAAGTGCCCTGGACAGGGGCACGATGCCAATTTTGAATTTTAAGATTCAAAGTATTATTTACTTACTGGGTACTTACTTAGAAATTAATTGCAATATAAAATAATAATTAAAATACTGAAGCTTTTACATTCTAGTAACATGAAAAATGTTGTCAGTACAAAAGTTAAATGTCTTTTAGGATCATTAGAATAATATTCTTTTACATAAAATATTATATATCATAATCTTATTAAGTTAAAGTACTGTTTTCTGTTAAATAAGAGTTAGAATTTGCTTTTATTTCATGTCTAATTAATTTTGCCCAAAACTAGCAAAATTGACATTTTTATATATTTATTAATTTATTATATTATTAATATTTTTTTAACCTTCAAAAACAAAAAATTCAGAAACTAAGAATGATAATTAATCTGTTAACAAGTGTCAGTAACTTATTTTTTATAATTAACATAAGAAAAGAAGACCTGAGAAGACCTAAAAAATAAGGAATTCCTTGAAGGGGCCAAAACTGGTGCATCTACCCTATTTAAAATCATGAATTTCTAACAACCAAAGTATTATATATATATATATATATATATATATATATATCCAGGGGGTCGATTACGTAAATTGATTTGATTTTGATTGACTTTCACCGCATTAAAATTTTTTCACTATACACGTGTTTTTCAGTGACAGTTTGTGTCGAAAATGTCACTAAATCACAAGATATATACACTTATAATCTAACTGTTATTGTTTATCATTCACTAAACAAATTTTTAATTTCTATAAGTTTGCGAAGCACTTTTAATTTAATCATGAACTGTCACAAAAAATTCACAACACTTTTCTTTCACTTAAAACTCTGCGAAATGAAATGCAAAATTTGATTTATTTAAAATTATTAAAAAAATAAAATTGCAAATTAACTTCAATTAATAATAATAATTCTATTACTCGGTTTTCAAATTAATTAAGTTTTAAAGGTGAATATTAAAAGTTCATAATTCGAAGATTATCAACAAATTTTTAATAGTTGTACCTAAATTATTTTTGAATTTTTTAATTGTTCTATGTGATGTTAATAAGAATGCCAAAAATATTTTCTTAGCTTTTCTCTGTGTAATTTAATTGTTTTAAATATATTTCATATTTTTTTAGAAAAGTTTTCTTTTCTTTGTCATCAGTAAATTTTTTTTCGAACTACCTTAAGAATCATCCTCATTTTGTTATTAAGACGGTCAAATAAGAACTATGACTTTCAAACGTGATTTCTACGCTTTTATACTAGATTCACAGTATAGAAGTAGTAACTAAATAACTACTGCATTTAATATGGATTTAATTTGCACATCTTTTAAGTGGTAGCTCTTAAATCCTTCCTGTAATTGCACCCTCATTTGAATGACATTACTCAAACTTTTCGCTAGTACAAGTTATAAATTACATCAATATAATTAAAACAACATTTTAGCCTCTACGTTTCTTCAACATTTAAGATTTTAACATAAATATTAGTTATAAACATTAAGGATTATAAAAAAAATCATAGAAATTTCCATGTCTGTACATTGACGCTTAATAACTTTTGCCCACCTGACAGCGATTAAAGAAATTTTTTTTGAGTCTTTTGTGGCCAATTTTTTTTTAATTTCTCTCATTACTTTATAAAACATGTGTGAGTTTAATTACAATCAATCCTCTACTTTTCATACTATATTCAATTAAATATAATATAAATAACCACATTACGAATTTTCGCAGAATCTGTTGAAAAACATACTCAAATGAAACTATAATTACACACTTAGACAAAGATGAGAAAAGCTTAAAAGACAACCACGATTGTTGTATATAATAATAAATAATAATTTAATCAATTATGATATAAAGCATAAACAGTTTTAAATAAACAGATATTTTATTGTTTGAATAGCATTTTCGTAAGTAAATAAAGTAATAGTATGCGACACTTATGCATAGGAAAGTGATTGGTCCACATCTTTTTTGTCGCGTCGTACTAAATATAATGGATTAAATAACAATGCAATGGCGAAATTTTGCGACAGGCAAAAACCTTACGGCGGTTACAGCTATATAAACTGGCCCAACTTTGATACTGTATCATTCAAGTTTATGATCCTAGTGAATACAAGAACATGGCCATGAAGGTTCGTAATATACTACAATTTAATTAGTAGCTCAATTGGATTCATGATTGTAAATTAGATTTAAAGTTTGTGAATTATTAAAACCCAATTAACTCATTTTAGCACAATATTGTGTAAATACTATCCACCTTGTAAAAATTTTGTCAACTAATATTCACTAAACGTTGCTTAGCAATAATTATAAAATATTGTGGTAACACTGACTTGAAATATTATAATATATTTAATATACTGTTATATTTTATAATGTTGCTTCAATTTTGTTATGAGGTAGACATATCAATGTTGAGACTATATTGACTCAACATTATCAGGTAATATTGTCAATATTTAGATTTAATATTTTTATTATAATCAAATATTATAAATACTACGAGTTATAAATTTGCTTATGAACTGATAAATTTTTCAAGTAAATTATAATTTAAAATGTAATTTATAATTAGTTTTTTTGCAAGTATCATTGTATTTGAAACAATACTGTTATAGAACAGAATAAGAAATAATTAATTTGTAGTAATTTATTTATAAAAAAATGTTGACATGTTTTAATGAAGGAAAATATTTACTAATTTAAATAAACTCTTAAAATTTTTATCTTTCTATGCAGTTTGTTGCCATTTCGGCTGTTCTGGCTCTTATGGGAGTTCAGTATGCATCAACACACCATGCTCATAGCTTCTCTCACTTCCATGGACCAGTTGAGGGACCACATCACGAAATTTCAGTTCATGACAAACACGGGCATCATCACATTGATTATGTAGCTCATCCCAAATATGAATTTTCTTATGGCGTTGAAGATCATCACACTGGCGATTTTCATGGACAGAAAGAATACCGCGACGGTAATGTTTTACATTTTTATAATAAAATTTAAAAACCGTTGTTTTCTTAAAACTAAAAGAAATATTTTTACAAAAAATCGAAAGTAAAATTTCGGTTAGGTGCAGTAGACACATTGCACAGAGCTTGCATGCGTCTACAAAAAATTTATAAATAATAGACTATTTGCTTGAAATAATTTTGTTTGTTGGTATTCAATTCTTAATCATATTTTTCAATAAAATAAATTAGCTATATTTTACGACATATTAAAAGAGCATCATAAATGTAAAAACAACTACATTTCTGGTAGTTTTTTTTAATTGCAATAATATCAGTAAATTGACAAACAAGCGAGCAGTATAATATTGTTTTCAAAACACTTCAAAAACTGCTGCACTGTTGTACGGAGTTAAATTATTTTTGACGACTATATATAAAATTTACGAAAAATTGCGTCTTTTCGACAAGAAATTTATGGAAAATTTTTCGGGCTTTAATCAGTCTCTAAATTTTATCTGTTAATATTAACACTTGAACTCTTTTCGTTCTGTACCCATAGGAAAGGATGTTCATGGTGAATACACTATCAAGGAACCAGGTGGCAATGTCAGAAGTGTTAAATATCATGCTGATCCTCATGGTGGATTTTTTGCTCATGTGCATAACTCAGGAGGCAATGATCATTCAGGCGGCACCTATGGTGGTCACGGTCATCACGGTTATTAACGATTTTCTAAAAGATGTTTTAAAAAGAAATAACGTATTACTTAAAATACTCATTTCTGAATACATTGTTACTTTTTTCTGTTTCGTTTGTACGTAAAATACATATTTGTTTGTGATTATTAAATATAAATTGTTAATTTTTATTTCCTACATTCACTTGAATTTTAATTTACATTATTTTATTTTGATATGCATATAACTATCTAATAGTAGCTTTCGGTTTCCTTCAGATAAGTAAACTGATGCGCGAATATTTCTATAATTAATTAACCGTGTTGCGCAATTTCAAACAGTGGTCGCCATTTAAAAATGGCTTCTTGAAAGTAAACATAATTTTCAAAAGGATTTTTCTCCTAATTTGGACAGTTTGTGCTGCCCTCTGGCAGTGGTTTTTCCACTTGCTTTAAATAATCTTACCTTTTTTGAAGTTTGAAAATTAAAACTATAAAATTGATGTTCTCATTTATTTTTATTATTAAATTTTTAAAAGTTAATTAATTGTAACAAACAATTATCAAATTTTCTTTTAATCTTTTTTAATAAAATCATATACATAATTTTCTCTTTCTCAATGACAATATTCCAAGTTATCTTAAAAATTAAAGAAAAAAGTTTGCTGAATTTACTGACATACTGTTTGTATTGAATCATTAGTTTGCCGAACTGTCATGTCATACGTTCATGTAACAAGATCCACACGTATTTAAACTCCTACATGGAGTACAACATATCGTTTGTATATCTTCATTACAAATGCAGCAAATGTTAGCAGCCATAACTGTTTAGATATTATTGTAATCCAGCCTACATAACGTGTATGTAATTTTGTTCCCCTCGAATCGTAATATATCTGGTACAGCACTCTTCACATGCGGTCAAATGACCACAGGACACGAAGTATGTAGTGAATAGGCGGTACGTACCTACATAGGCGTGCAGCATACGGGTTCATTGGTTTTTAGAAAATGAAAATAGAAAAATAATATGTTCTGGTAATATAACATTATCATCTGCATCATTTAATTCACCATTGACAACTTTAAGTAAAAAATCCACAAAGTCCGTTTCTTGTGGTAAAGGCGTAAAGCTCTCATATTATCTGTTAACCCTTTAACTCCCAAATGTGCTGTTTTTCGACTTGAATTTCAACTTCGTACAATTATTAAAAGAAAGCAAAAAATTTCAAAAGTACCATATAACCAATTTCCAATTTTTCCTTTCATCCAATTTAACCAATTTCCAGCTTTGTTTTTATCCAATAGAACCAATTTCTAATTTTGACCTTTATCCAATTACAGACGATTTGCAAATTATAAAAAAAATTTTAATTTATTAATAAACATCAAAAAAATTATAACAAATTTTTTAACTTTATTAATAATAATTAACATCAAAAACAAAACACAACTCAATTAATTATTTAATGATTGAAAAAATTTAGAAAACAGTATCTTAAGGGCATCCGGGAAATAATACTGGTTTCGTGATAGACGTCTCATTTAAAAAGAAAAGAATATTTTGAGTCGGGAATTTTTGGTAAATATAGAGAAATGCTCTGGGACCAGCGGTCCTCTCGGAATTTAGAGAAATTTTGATAGATAATTATTGAAAAAAATTGTTTAAATATACGGAAAAAAGGGGTTTTTCACGGTTCAGTATAGACGTCTCATTTTGAGAGGATAAAATATTTCGGGTTCATATTTGGAGGGGTCATAGAGGAAGACTCTCCGAGGAGCGGCCCTCTCCGTTTTTGTAATAATTTTGCGAGGAAATTATTTTATTAACGATTGAAAGTGGAGTAATTTGAGATTAATACATTTCCTCAGTTCGAGTCGCGACCACTTCCGAGAATTGGCGCCACCTCCTTGACCATTGACACATAGATCCACTTGTCTGTGTGTTCGCCGCCATATTGTCTCTCACTTTCGCCAAAAATCCAACTTTTGTAATTTCGTTTTTCAATATTTATTTCAAAAATTACTTGCAAATTTCGAGAATATTCTTTATCATCATGAATTCCCCTAATTATCATGATAAATCCGAACTAAATATCTCTAATTATTTAGGAGTGAGACGACACGCGGGAAAACACTTTTTGTGCTCGATTTTTCCCGGATGCCCTTAATTTAATTCTATTATTATTTACTATTCACTTATTATCACTAATTATATTCACTAATACTTACTATTCACCAAATCACTATTTACTAATTCACAAAGTATTCACTAATAATTCACTTATTTAACTTTATATTCACTCACATATAGTGAGTGAATTCACCAGTGAATTATAAAGATTTTTTAATTTAATTTTCGTTGAAGACATGTAGAACGTGTCCCAAGGAAAATAATCCACGATATGATTTTTAAATTAAAAAAAAATATTCGTTCTTATATTTAGGTGCGGTAGGCCCTAAGCGTGAGTGTCCTTTTCGCACTCGTAGATTGATTCTGAGGCTAATATATATTATAATATATGTATATTAGACCGATTAGACCTGTATTAGACCCTACGAAGGATTACCACAAACAATACGAACGCTTGAACAATAAATAGCCTTTGTAAATGAGGGACCCAGGTAATAATATTTTCTTTCTTCCTTCATCGCAAGGAAAACTATAGATAAAAGTCAATATATATATATATATGTATACTTTTATAATTAAAACACAAAGGGTAACGGCGCTAGTAACGCCGGCTCTGGTTTCTCTCTTTCTCTAAAGGCAATATAAATAATAATGTCTCTCTTTACCTAATTTGCATATCTACTCGTTTCATATTAAGGATTGCTTGTTGTGATACTCCTTTCTGTCTCGGGCGCCCTTGACTTTAACTCGAATCACAACAATCACCCAAAACAAATAGCGGTCGTTGTTCCCATGTAGCTTGTTTTTCATTTTCTCTACTTATATTATTACTAATAATTATTATTACAATATTGTTAAATTAAATACAACAAATTTGGGGTTTTGCACATATTATAATAATATAATAATACTCGTTTGAGAAATAATAATTTTGAAAAATTGTTACTGAAAAAGGTTAATCATAATACAGAAAGAGATGTAAAACTTTGGAAGTTCTTTTTCAGTAATAATTTTACAAAATTATTATCTTTCAAACGAAACAAAATACCCTTATCAAATTTTAATAGCAGGTAAATTATATATGAATATTAAAACATGTGCAAAACCACAAATTTTTTTAAGCTTCCAGAAAAAAGTTTCAAGCTTCGAAAAATTGTGAAAATTTTTTTCAATAAAATTTGTAAATTCAAGTTAATATCTTTAAATGGAATAATTGTGTATGATAATTACATCAAATTTACACACAAGATAAATTGATTTATGTTTCTGGTAGGTAATATTATCTAATATTTATTAGTTTTTGAATAATAACGTTTCCAAAAATTTGGAATTCATCTTGTTTCACATACATTAAAACTAGATTTTTTAAAATATGTCAGCGACCATTCTCAGATGATTTTCAGTGTATGAACCATAAAGCAAAATAATTATTTCTTAATAATTCGTCTAACCAATAATTTTTATATAATTTTTATCCGACCTATCAAATTTAAAGACTTTCATTTTCTTAAAGGAATTTTTGCAAGTGGTCACACAATTTTGAACAATAATAAATAAATATCTTAGTGTATAGACAAATTTTATAGTTGATTAAAATCTTGAAAATATAATTACATATTTGTACGCTCTTTTAACTGCAATGTTTCCATTAGAATTTTAAAATTTCATCGATCTTAATATTTCTAGAAACCAAGGTCCGCTGATTTCATTTCACATCTATGAAAATTCATGCTTTTAATTACGACTCGATTCTGCATCTTCATAAATATTCAGGGGGACTAGTGCGAGTTCAACACGGAAAAAGTACATAATCTACCGCCGATTCTTTTCTATGTGCATATTTCACTTTCATGATTATTATTATTATTAAATTTTTTTTCAAGTATGAACATTTTTAAAAACTTTTTTCATATTTTTTAAGTATAAATAAATTTAAGAACATTTTTACTATGGCATAATAATAGTCTCTACAAAAGTGTCTGTCTCTTTGCTTGTCTGTTGAAAAATTTGTCATCATCATAAATGGAATAAGTTTAGTTAAGTCACATGGAAGAGTTTTGCTATCTAGATATGGTCAAATCCACGAAACTTTTTTTTTTATAAGTTTACCATCTTTTAGGAAAAAATAGTGATAGTTTTTATTCTTCTTGTTTTTTACGTTTAATGATTTTTACACTGTAATGAAAAAAGGGGTGTTCTCTAAATTATGGACGGTAGTGTAATATATATTATATTGTGGGACATAAAAAAATTTGGATTACAATAATAGTAATGGAATAAATGTCACGGAACTGAAATTATTAAAAATTTTAAATTTTACTTAAAATTTTAATTCATAAATAAAGAATTAATATCATGTTACAAAATATATGGTTTTTGTAGTTATTTCTTTTAGAGAGAAAGTCATTACAGTAAGCCAGACAATCTGCAATGTGTTATTTATCATCTAAAAGTAATCTTCAAAAAGAAAATGATAAATGTTTTATAAAAATCAATAATTCAGGTTCCATTATGCTTGCTAAATTTTAGCTTTCTCTTTGACAAGGAAATGTACAAAAAACGCTACAGATACGCAACCTGATTATGCGATATTCTTTTGTATGAGACTAGTGAATTTACATGAACCTTTTAAAATGAGGTGTGAAGGCAATTTAGAAACTAATTTTATTAGCAACATTTTTTAAGAACTTTAATAAATTGGACATTTACATTTTTTAATTATTATAAAAATATATATTACATTATATACATTTTACAATTAATTTAAATGTAATTCAACAAAATGTTGAAAATAATAAATTATTATTTATTTTCTAGCAGATGAAATTCAGCAACAAGTAGATGAGGAAGAGGAGATTGTGTGAATGTGAATTTACACCAAGAAAATATATTAAATTTGCAAATTTTTATAGACAGTATGCAGCCAACCAAATTAGGTCATTTGTAATTATTTGTAACACTCTGCAAAATCTTTTTTGAACCCGACGTACACAAAGTATTTTCTGTAGCTGTATTCTGTGACAAGACAAATCCAAGAAGTGTCGATAATTATTTGGAAGAGC